AGCACTAGCACAGTACCAGCAGCATACCAGCACTAGTAGCAGTACCAACAGCATACCAGCAGAGCATACGACTCAATAGTCGAGCTCAGCATACTAGTAGCAGCAGTACCCATAGCGTACTAGTAGCAGCAGTACCAGCACAGCAGCAGTATCAGCACTAGCAGCAGTACCAGCACTAGCAGCAGTACCAGCCTAGCAGCAGTACAGCACTAGCAGCAGTACCAGTACTAGCAGCAGTTCAGTACTAGCACAGCTGTCAGTACTAGCAGCAGCAGTACCGACAGCACATAGCAGTACAGCAGTACCAGACAGCAGCAGCAGTACCAGCTAGCAGCAGTACCAGCACTAGCAGTAGTCAGCAGCGCTTACAGCAGCAGCAGTGCCAGCACTAGCAGCAGTACCAGCACTACAGTAGTACCAGCACTAGCACATACAGCACTAGCAGTATACCAGCACTAGCAGCAGTACCAGCACTAGCAGTAGTACCAGCTAGCCAGTCCAGCATATACCAGCACTAGCAGTAGTACCAGCACTAGCAGCAGATACCAGCACTAGCAGCAGTACCCAGCACATGTAGCAGCTCAGTACCAGCACTGCAGCAGTACCAGCATAGCAGCTACAGCAGTACCAGCACTAGACACAGCAGTCCAGCACAGCAACATCAGCAGTACCAGCATACCAGCAGACAGCATAGTACATCAGCAGTACCAGCACTAGCACATCAGCAGTACCAGCACTAGCAGCAGCTCACAGTAGCGACAGTGACTGAGTGAAAGAATCAAACAAGTGCGCATGCGTACGCGTACTGTTGCCCGTACCGAATGAGCAGAAGAGCTCTACAATGGTACAGCAGCAGCAGTACTCACTCCCTACCAGACTTGACTTAATATGCCTGCATGACATACTGCGCTGTCTTCTACCTACATGCAGTCTGCATGCTGCTCCAGAACGGTCACCACACTATAGCAGACGTCAGCAGCAATAAATAATGAGAAACAATGAGTGGGGGAGGCAAATAGAAGGAGAGTTGTGTGATATGTGCTGTGTGAGAGGCAAGATGTATGTATTGGTGCGTTTGGAGCGCATCCCCTCACATACGGCACCAGCATGTTTATAATCTTTAATAATTGGTTTCTAGGATTACATCTTGTGCTTCGGGAGATGAGTTCGGTTATTGCGCAAGACACATGGAGAGGTTATTTCCAGGATTTGCGAGAGTCGGCCTGGTGAGTCGTAATCGTTCTGCGCTGGCAACCGATGTGGCACAGGGGGGGCAGCATGTTGCAGTGTAGCAGGCTGCACCTCATTCAATAACAACAGATATATTGCAGTATTTTCTGAGTATTAGTTGAGATGTGATGGTAGTGAGATAGAAGAGTGAATGGTGGAGGCAGTCCAGTGATGTGCAGCTAGGGGCTGTACCTCCTGCATGCATACGCAACAACAACACTAGTGAAATAATGTCAAGGATCACAGTGAAATAAACCAGCTACTTGCTCTATATCGGTTAACTCGAGTACTGTACACTACCAGATGCAGTACTATAGCAAGTACAGCACTAGCACCATAACAGAATTATAGTAATCACACTAGCAGCTGTACCAGCACTAGCAGCAGTGTCAGTACTAGCAGCAGTACCAGCACTAGCAGCAGTGTCAGTACTAGCAGCAGTGTCAGTACTAGCAGCAGTGTCAGTACCAGCACTAGCACCATCAGCAGTACTAGCAGTACCAGCACTAGCAGCAGTACCAGCAGCAGCAGTACCAGCCCTAGCAGCAGTACCAGCACTAGCAGTAGTACCAGCACTAGCAGCATTACCAGCAGCAGCAGTGCCAGCACTAGCAGCAGTACCAGCACTAGCAGTAGTACCAGCACTAGCAGCAGTACCAGCACTAGCAGTAGTACCAGCACTAGCAGCAGTACCAGCACTAGCAGTAGTACCAGCACTAGCAGCAGTACCAGCAGTAGTACCAGCACTAGCAGTAGTACCAGCACTAGCAGCAGTACCAGCACTAGCAGCAGTACCAGCACTAGCAGCAGTGTCAGCACTAGCAGCAGTACCAGCACTAGCAGCAGTACCAGCAGTGTCAGTACTAGCAGCAGTACCAGCACTAGCACCATCAGCAGTACCAGCACTAGCACCATCAGTAGTACCAGCACTAGCAGCAGTACCAGCACTAGCACCATCAGCAGTACCAGCACTAGCACCATCAGCAGTACCAGCACTAGCAGCAGCAGCCACAGTAGCGCACCAGTGAATGACGTGGAAAATGAATCAAAAAGGTGCGCATGCGTACCGGACATGTCTGCCCGACCTGAATGGCAGAGAAGAGCTTCAATGGAGGCAGCAGCAGCAGCACTCTGCCTCCCTCCAGTTGACTTAATATCTGCCTGCTACTGCTGTCTGTCTCTCTACCTGCTGCTGCTGCTGCTCCACGGTCACACCTATAGCAGACTCAGCAGCAAAAAATGAGAAACAATGAGTGGGGGGAAGGGCAAATTATGAATGGAGGTGTGTGTGTGTATGTGCGTGTGTGAGAGGCAAGAATGTATGTATTGGGTGCGTGTTGGAGCGCCTCTCCCTCACTACCGCCACCTACACTGTTTTATAATCTTTAATAATTGGGGTTTCTAGGATTACTCTTTGTGCTTGGGGAGATGAGTTGGTTTTATTGGCGGCAAGACACATGGGAGAGGTTATTTCCATGGATTTGTGGGAGAGGTCGGCCTGGTGAGTCGTAAGTTTCTTGCGTCTGGCAACCGAGTGGTTGGCACGGGGGGGGGCAGTGTTGCCAAGTGTAGCTGGCTGCCACCTTCATTCAATAACAACAGATATTTTCAGTATTTTTTGAGTATTAGTTGAGATGTGATGGTAGTGGAGAGGTAGAAGAGTTGATGGTGGAGGCGTCCAGTGATGGTGCAGGCGTGGGGTGTACTCTCCTGCATGCAATTACTGCAACAACAACTCTAGTTGAAATAATGTCAAGGATCACAGTGGAAATAAACCAGCTACTCTGATCTCTATATCGGGTTAACTCGAGTAACTTACACCTACATTACTATGCAAGACACTAGCAACCATTCAAAAAACATGTATAATTTATAGGTAAATCAAATTAAGAGTAGGTTGGGTGGGCATGGCAGTATGGTGGAGGTGGTTGCCAGAGAGCGCAGAGAAAGTATGGCCGCTGTGCGCATCGCAAGCTTGATTGATTGTCTCAGTAATTCTTAGATGAGTTTGTCTACAGCTTTACCTGCGATGCTTTGAATATTTTATACCGTGTGGTGACACTGGTGTGAGTGTGATGATGGTAATACTGTGTGGTGGTTGAGATGGTGGAGTGATGGTGAGTCTGCTCTCCTGGTGTGTGTGTGTGTGTCTGTGTGTGTGTGTGTTTTGTGTGTGTGTGTGTGTGTGTGCGTGTGTGTGTATGTGTGTGTGTGTGTGTACCAGCCTCAAGCCACCTAGCCAGCCAGCCAGCCAGTCAGCCTCCTGCCTGTCTATCTGCCTGCCGGCCTACCAGCGCCACCACCAGCCATGTAGGGTGGGCAGGTTCTTGCCACCACATGTCGGGCTACCACCATCGCCACCACCACCACCACCTACCACCATCCCTCTATAAGCACAGTTACCACCACCACACGTGTACTCTAGTCACCCATCAAGCTAGCCGCTTGTCACTCGTGTGCTGCTACTGGGTCAACCTCTTCCTGCCTGCCACCACAACTACCACCATCACTGGGATGGTGGTAGCCGTTAAGAGCGAGTGTTTAGTGAGTGCGAGTGATGATTGACAGTGATGGCCACACTCTGAGTGTATCCGGTGCTGAGTGCCATCACCGCATCATGAGCTGGTGATTATCACAGAAATAATGTGAATTATATAAGTGTATTATCTGATTGTGAGCCGTATATGTCCTGGCTCACTATCACCCCTGGAAAATAGTGGAATAGTGAGTGTTGATCTTGGGGTGAGTGTACAAGTACGTCTAACTACGGAACGTTAAAGGATTACACCTGCTCTCTCTCTCTCTCTCTCTCTCTCTCTCTCTCTCTCTCTCTCTCTCTCTCTCTCCTCTCTCTCTCTCTCTCTCTCTCTCTCTCTCTCTCTCTCTCTCACCCCAGATTTATCACCCTCCTTCCTCTATCTTGCTTTGAATCTGTAAGGCACGAGTCTGCCAGCAGCAGCAGCCACTTCAGCGACAGCAGAAACAGGAGCAACATTAGTAACAGCATCAGCAGCAGTGACAGCATCAGCAGCAGTGACAACATCAGCAGCAGTACCAGGAACAGCATCATCAGCAGCAGCATCGTTATAGGGAAGTGTTCGCTAAAGCAGTCATCGTCAAGGTTGTCCAGACTTGACGTGAGTGTGGGTCAGGTCGGGTCAGGGCGGCGCGGGTAGCTGGCGTGTGGAGGGGTGCCCAGGGCATGGGCAAGTGTGGTGGGGCGTGGGTGTCCTCTCTGACCAACACCTGCGTGTGGTACTGAAGCATACACTACCACCACAACCACCACAGCACAACCACAACAACACAACCATTACAGCACAACCACCACCACAACACACCCACCACAACACAACCATTACAACCACAACAGTTCAGTCACCACTACCACCACAACACATCCACAATCGCAACACAATCACCGCCACAACACCACCACACCACCACCACCACCCAACACACCCACCACAACACAACCACAGTTCACCACCACTACAAACCCACCCCACCACCACAACACATCCACCACCACAACTCAACGACCACCACAGCAACAAAACCATTTCCACTACAACAACACTACCATCACCCCCCCCCCCCCCCGACAACAAGCACAACACACAACCACCACCCACACACACCACACCCCACAACAACCACAACACACCACCCCCAACAACCACAACCACAGCCCCCAACAAAACACAAACCCCCACCCAACAAACACACAACTTCAACAGCAACACCAACCCCCCACCACACACAAAAACCCCACCACAGCAACACAAACCACCACCACGAAACAAAACCACAACAACACAACCACTTCCACCACACAGCACAACCACCACTACAACAACACAACCACCACCACAACACAGCCGCCACCACAACACAAACCACCACTAAACAACACAACCACCACCACAAAAGCAACCACTACCACCACTACATCACAACATCAGCTCAACAACCACCACCTCCTCCACTACACCACCACTACTACCTCCACCACAGACACCACCATCACCACTACCACACTACCACCATCACCACCACTGCTACCACTGTGCTGCTACAGGCCCGCCTCTCCACCTTGGCATGACGCCAGTACCCTTCTCTAATGCAACACGCCCGACACCACCACCATCACCACCACCAACACCAACAACATCACCAACAACACCTGTGAGCCGCATTCCTTCGCACTACGTCACCTACATCCATCTACCAACTACCACCATTACAACTATCAGTGGGTAACTGGCCTCACCACTACCACCACTGCTAGTGGGTGATTGGCCTCTCCACCACCACCAACACAAGACGCCACCTGCCACTGAACACCTCGTGGAGATTTACCTGTGGATGGACAACGGATGGCAGGTGAACTAGAGAAGCAGTGGGTGCAGGTGGAGTGAAGAACTGGACAAGACCCAGTGGTAGAGTGCACACCTCACAAAGGGAAAAACTTAAGTTCAATCCACAGGCGAGTGGAAGCGTGTGGGCAAGTGTTAATGTTGCACCTGCCCTTGTACTCATTTATGGTTCCAGGGGGTCGATTGGTAGCTCCTGGCCCTTTGTGTGTGATGCTGCGGGGGGTACAACGAAGATAAGCTACCGTGGCTTTCCTGGGGTATCGTGGGATGACGATGGCCACCACGGGGTCCACCAGAACACCCTGTGGGAGATAAGTGGCAAGTGTACATACACAGTGTTATAGTACAACCCCTGTAGGGTGAAGAGTACAGGTGGGTGTAAGAGGGTGGAGGGCAGGTGTTGATCATGGGTAACCCACACCCCACTCACCAAAGACCCATACTCACACCTCACAACGGACACCCACCCATTAACCCATTTATCCTGACATGAATAAAATGCAAGCAAATAATGTATAGATGCAATAATAGTGATAACTAGTGTATGGGAACAACCTGAGATAACCTATATAACTACTAGTAGTTAACATCTAGTTATCTACAAGTGTGATCGAGCACACAAGTGTTATAGAGATAACTTTATCTTACAAGATGACATAATTCAGTTAGTGTAGTGAGTTAACCGTGTTTATACACAAACTTACAATTCAGACATAAGTCAGAAGCATTGATCTACTGGCCCATGCTAGGCAGGTCTAACTCACACCCACTCAGCGTGTGTGTGTGATAGTGAGACCAGTGCCAGCTACGGTAGACAGGTGTGTGTGTGACGGTGGGAGTAGCAGTAGCGCCTGCTACCTGTACAGGTGTGTTTGTGTTACCTGGGAGCAGCACTGCGCCTGCTACTGGAGACCAGGAGCATGTGACCAACTAGGGAACGAGCAAGATGTTCTCCCTCCGTCCTTATACGTCGCTGAGAGACGATGATGATACTGTTACTGGTAAGATGCACACGTTTCTCCATGTTTCTCACTCTACCCTTCAGCTCTCTGAGAGACATAACTCTCTTACTGGTAAGATGAATGTCTTTCTTATTTGTTGTCTCTCATTATCCCCTTCCTTCCTCACCGTACAAATATATCTCGGAAAATTATACAATAACAGGAGTGTTTCTCTCTGTATAAACGTATCTGTGTGTGTGTTTAAAATCACCTGTTTACTGTGATCTTATTGCATATATATATATATATATATTATATATATATATATATATTATATATATATATATATATATATATATATGTAATATTATATATATATATTTATATATATATAATATATATATATATAATATATATAATTAAACATGCACATCCTGAAGTAGACTTCAAGATGTACATATTTATAGAGGGGGCACAAATATATCAGATCACTTTTTAGTTGTAGCTACAGTGAGAGTAAAAGGTAGATGTGATAATGGAAAATTGAAGCATCAAGTAAGAGAGAGGTGAAGGGTTATAAAAATAGGAGGCAGTTAGGGTAAGATATAAACTGTTGGAGGATAGATGGGCTAATGCGAGCATAGGCAATGGGGTAGAAGATGTATGGGGTAGGTTTAAGAATGTAGTGTTAGAGTGTTCAGCAGAAGTTTGTGGTTACAGGAAGTGGGTGCGGGAGGGAAGAAGAGCGATTGGTGGAATGATGTAAAGAGAGAAAAGGGAGAAGAAGTTAGCATATGAGAAGTTTTTACAAAGTAGAAGTGATGCAAGGAGGGAAGAGTATATGGCGAGAAAGAGAGAGGTTAAGAGAGTAGTGAAGTATTGTAAAAAGAGAGCAAATGAGAGAGTGTGTGAGATGTTATCAACAAATTTTGTTGAAAACAAGAAAAGTTTTGGAGTGAGATTAACAAGTTAAGGAAGCCTAGAGAACAAATGGATTTGTCAGTTAAAAATAGGAGAGGAGAGTTATTAAATGAAGAGTTAGAGGTATTGGGAAGACGGAGGGAATATTTTGAGGAATTGTTAAATGTTGATGAAGATAGGGAAGCTGTGATATAGGGCAAGGAGGAATAACAACTTGTAAGAGTGAGGAAGAGCCAGTTGTGAGTGTGGGGGAAGTTCGTGAGGCAGTAGGTAAAATGAAAGGGGCTGAGGCAGCTCGGATTGATGCAGTATGTGGTGTGAATATAATGCAGAGAATTCGTAGCTTGGAAATTAGGAGGAGGTGCAGGATTACCATTATCCAGAGGGCTGAGGAAGGGTTATTGAGGTGGTTCGGACATGGAGAGAGGATGGAACAAAATAGAATGACTTCGAGAGGGTATAAATCTGTGGTGGAGGGAAGGCGGGGTAGGGGTCGGCCTAGGAAAAGTTGGAGGGAGGGAGTAAAGGAGGTTTTGTGTGCGAGGGGCTTGGACTTCCAGCAAGCATGCGTGAGCGTATTTGATGGGAGTGAATGGAGACAAATGGTTTTTAGGACTTGACGTGCTGTTGGAGTGTGAGCAAAGTAACATTTATGAAGGGGTTCAGGGAAACCGGCAGGCTGGACTTGAGTCCTGGAGATGGGAAGTACAGTGCCTGCACTCTGAAGGAGGGGTGTTAATGTTGCAGTTTAAAAACTGTAGTGTAAAGCACCCTTCTGGCAAGACAGTGATGGAGTGAATGATGGTGAAAGTTCTTTTTCGGACCACCCTGCCTTGGTGGGAAACAGCCGATGTGTTAATAAAACGTGTTAATTAAATTATATATTATATATATATTATATATATATATATATTATATATATATATATATATATATATATATATATATATGTCGTGCCGAATAGGCAGAACTTGCAATCTTGGCTTAAATAGCAACGCTCATCTTGCCATATAGGACAAGCGAAAATTTGTGTATGCAATAATTTCTCCAAAATCACTCTGAGCCTGACGAAAAAAATATATTTCACTGTGTTTGTTAAGTATTAAATTATTGTAAACAAATCTAAAATATATTTATTTGGGGTTAGGCTAAAATAAATTGCTCTTGTTTTTATAGGTTAGGTAAGTTTTCTAAGATTCTTTTGGTGCAAAATTAAAAATTTTAACATTAACATTAATGAAAAAAGTATATCTTTAAACGAATAAGAAAAATTTTTTCAGAAAGGACTTAATTTTAAATGAGTTCTTGCTAATTGACCAGTTTTACATATTCGGCACGAATTAATTTTATATATATATATATATATATTTTTATATATATATATTATATATTTTTATATTTATATATATATATATATATTTATATGTATATTATTATATGTTTGTGTGTGTGTAAAGACTTGTGTATATGTCATTGTACTTAGTATATATACACTGAGAGGTATATATACACTGAGAGGTATATATCGTTGTTATACATGAATGGGGATGGGTGTGTACCTTGAATAGAACCAGTAGGCCTTTAACAGTGAGGCCTCTAAATCACGGCACGGTCCTGTCTGGTCTTGAGGCGTAACATTGTATATTAGGCTTACTGAGGTCTCCATATATCTGGTCTCAGGCCTCGGTCTTCAGCCTTTGTCTCAGGTCTAAGACCAAGGTGAGGATAGCGTTCGTGACAACGTCCCGTAGCTGCTCGATCTCTAGCGCACTCAGCTCACACACTGAAGTCCGGGGTTCGAATCTCCTCCTGTACGGCTGGAAAACATCAGGGACGTGTTTCCATAAGACACCTGCTGTCCCTGTCCCTGTTCACCCATCAGTTTAAAATAGGTACCTGGGTGTTAGTGGACTGGTGTTTGTCGCATCCTGGGACAAAACTGACCTAATTTGAGGGAAATGTTATAGATAACAAGGGACTTTCTATATAGTAGTATGTCACTGATGTCAGCTATGGTCTGTATACCTTGTACATGTACTTGTAGCAAATAATTATTATTATTATTATTATTATTATGCTGTCCCTTACGTCCCTTCCTGTCACTCTTCCTTCTCTCCTACTTCCATCCTTCCTTTATCCTCTTCCTCCCTTTCATATAATACCATGGGTCTACCTACCTGGAGAGTGTTCCGGGGGTCGACGCCCCCGCGGCCCAGTCCATGATCAGGCTTCGTGGTGGATCAGGACCTGATCAACCAGGCTGTTACTGCTGGCCACACGTTGTCCAACGTACGAACCACAGCCCGGCTGGGTGCCTGTCCAGTGCCTTCTTGAAGACAGCCAGGGGTCTATTGGTAATCCCCCTTATGTTTGCTGGGAGGCAGTTGAACAGTATTGGGCCCCTGACACTTATTGTGTTGTCTCTCAACGTACTCGTGGCGCCCCTGCTTTTCATTGGGGGAATGTTGCATCGTCTTCCGAGTCTTGCTTTAGTAGGGAGTAATTTCTGTGTGTAAATTTGGTACTAATCCCTCTAGGATTTTCCAAGTGTATATTATAATGTATCTTTCTCGCCTGCGTTCCAAGGAGTACAGGTCAAGGGACTTCAACCGTTCCCAGTAACTGAGGTGCTTTATGGTACTTATACGTACAGTGAAAGTTCTCTGTACATTCTCCAGGTCAGCAGTTTCACCTGCCTTGAAAGTGACCGTTAATGTGCAGCAATATTCCAGCCTAGAGACAACAAGTGACTTATTATTGACTCAGATTTTACTTATATTAATGAATGAATGAAACTCTCTCTCTCTCTCTCTCTCTCTCTCTCTCTCTCTCTCTCTCTCTCTCTCTCTCTCACTCTCTCTCTCTCTCTCTCTCTCTCTCTCTCTCTCCACCGGAAACGGGCGTGTCTTCTTGACATGCCTTGGCTGACACGCGCGCTCTCCACTAGAAGTGCGTACTCGTACTCTCCCACTTGTACTTACCTAGTTGTACTTGCACTCACCCATTTGTACTCACCCATGTTATGTGTGTACTCACCAATATGTGATTGGAGGGGTTGAGTCTTAGCTCCTGGCCCCCCTAGTAGCTGTAGGTGTGTGTGTGTGAACTCACCTGTTGGTATTTGCAGGGGTCGAGTCTTGGCTCTTGGCCCCGTTAGGAGCTGTGTGTGAGTGTATTTGTGTACTCATCTGTTTGTGGTTGCAGGGGTCGAGTCGTAGCTCCTGATTCTGCCTCGTGTGTGTGTGTTTGTGTGTGTGTGTGTGTGTGTGTGTGTGTGTATTCACCTATTTGTATTTGCGGGAATCGGGATTCAGCTCTTAGTCCCGCTATTTATACTAAAATCATCATTATTCATCCCTATTCTCTTAGGCGCTGTCATACCTTATTCTGAAACTTTGTATGCGTATGAGCGATAATTTGTGCTTACAAATATATCATCCTAGGAAGTATTGTATTACATGGTGCGGAGAGCAGTTGGTGACTTTGGTCAGTGTTGACAGTGTGTGTAGTGCCGCTTGCTATAAAAGATACACTGTTTTTTGTATTAAGCTAAGTAGACGCACAGTGTGTTGCTACACTATTCTGTATGATAGTTACAAAGTGGGAACACCAGCAGTGTTGCTACACTATTCTGTATGATAGTTACACAGTGAGAACACCAGCAGTGTTGCTACACTATTCTGTATGATAGTTACACACTGGGAACACCAGCAGTGTGTTGCTACACTATTCTGTATGATAGTTACACACTGGGAACCCTAGGTGTGTTGCAACACTGTTCTGTATGATTGTTACACAGTGGGAACACCAGCAGTGTTGCTACACTATTCTGTATGATAGTTGCACAGTGGGAACACCAACAGTGTGTTGCTACACTATTCTGTATGATAGTTACACAGTGAGAACACCAGCAGTGTTGCTGCACTATTCTGTACGATAGTTACACAGGGGGAACACCAGCAGTGTTGCTACACTATTCTGTATGATAGTTACACAGTGGGAACACCAGCAGTGTTGCTACACTTTCTGTATGATAGTTGCACAGTGGGAAACCAGCAGTGTGTTGCTACATATTCGTATGGTAGTTACACAGTGGGAGCACCAGCAGTGTGTTGCTACACTATTCTGTATGATAGTTACACAGTGGGAACACCAGCAGTGTGTTGCTACACTATTCTGTATGATAGTTACACAGTGAGAACACTATTCTG